CGAACGGCTGATGGATTCGTATAAGGGGCTTATTTTGATATCAGTATTTGCCTGCTCACTGTTCTTCGACCACGACCGTTTTTTTTTTATCACCAATCAGAATCCTCTTCAGAAATGGGTCGTTTTTTTACAATCCACCAGCGATTCGCAAATGGAAAATTGCTCCATAAGATTTTTTCCCTTATGTCATGTGGCACCCATACATCGAGTTTTGTGAATTCAGCATTTTTCAAGTATTTTCTGGGCAATCGATACAGAGCTCGCATGCTGGTCAGATTCAACGATTTAAATTATTTTATCGACACTTTGGACAATTGGCCTTCGATACTTACGAAATGGATGAAACCAAAATTTGGCACGATTTACTGTTACAGTATCACGACCATAAACCCTATACACACTTTTAGCTACTTGACTTACCTTTTCGTCTTTATAGAAGAATATCGCTTAATTTCTCTTTGTCAAAAGTGGACACCACAGATCACTAAAGCTATCTATTGCATAAATTATGGATTAATTTTATGCTTCTTCTTACCAATTTCATTTTTGATCTATTCCGTAACTAAAAGCTTGTATTTGAGGAGTATTTTCACTATATCAAGACAACCATTTACCAATCTAAGCTTTTCAAGATTTTACAAGTCTTAAAAGCTTTAAAGAATTTAAAACGCATGCGAATGAATTTGATATCTTTTCCTCTTTAGACTTTAAATTAATATGAGTAACTATTCACTGTGAAAATCTCGATTTCTTTGTGATGATCAAAAAAATCTTTAAAAAGAACTCGAATGACATTAAAAGTGTTGATTGGGGTAGGGTAGGGTGCAAACGCTTTGGTGTTGCCGAAGTTATTACTTTTTGAGCTTATCATTAGCTTTGTGGCTCTTTGCATTAATTGATTAATATTCTTTGTCATACAAACGCATGTTAATATTCAAGAGTTTGCATATATAAATTAATAAACACTCCCATAAACTAAAGTAGAATTTTTAAAAAGGAATTCTTTCATAATTCTTGAAAGCTTTCTTTTTTTCTAGACGTATACATGCATTGTGTTAATTTCGTACAAAAGTGATTTTCCGGTTTGCCTAAACTAGTTTTCAATTTCATATTGGCACTTGGTCTATTAGTCTTTCCAATTGCAGATTTCTTTTTGCAACTGTTTTTTAAAATATTGAATAATGGTCTTTGCTTTTACTAGTGGCACATTAATAAAGTAACTAGAATTTGCTGACAGTTGGAAAAGAAAACAATTAATTCGTTTAGCATATACAGGGTGGAAAGGGTTGAGTCAATAGAAGTAAAAAAAAGGAAAAAAGTATTGATGAGTGCATAAGTTCGTGCCCGATTTCAAGTGCAAACTAAAATTGAAATTTTTTGAAGAAAGCGCTTTTATTAGTCAATTATGTATTCGCCATCATGTTCGNCATGCGTCTTTTTACTAAGCAACTCAAATCAAAATAAAGTTATTTTATGCTTGATTTTCAGTTCGGACTGTCACCTTTCCAACGATATATAATAAGTATATATTTCTTTCACGAGCGCCACTCTCAAACGATTCGAACGGCATCCAGCAGAATCGGGCACGAACTTATGCACTCATCCAATATAATTTACCTGAACCTTACCCTTAAAACACAACACTTTTTTAAAATAAATTCTAAATCTGCAGCACAATCAAACATTCTTGCGAGCATCGTCATATCTTCAGGAAAGGACTGCAAGGATTTCCTGGTATTATTTTTTATGAACCTATCTGGCGGCTGCAAGTAAGCAGCCGAGTGGTTAGGATTGCGCGCTGCTGTTCGGAAAGCCAGGGCCCGAGTTCTTGTTTAACCAAGAAAGTTATTTAAACAAAAAAATAATTTAATTTTCCAGCCCATCGAGTGTATTTCCGACACGAAATAAAAGCTCATCATACAAAGCCAAGGGTCGTGCGGAGGCGTCTTAGAATAAACTGTGTGTCTTTTCTTTTGCTAGAGAAACATCGAGACGCATACCAGAAATTGCAATGGGAGTTCGGCCGTAGATCGCTCCAGTGGTGTCAAGCGCCAATTATACATATATATATTATCACGGAAATATGAACTACTTTAAATCTTCGACTGTAGGGTTCGGTCGAATTCTTATACAGAAGGGCTATCGATGAAGAATAGCTGCAATGTGAAATTCGCTTGTTTAGATTATTCACAACAGCATATTTCGTAACGGTTGATACGGTGTGTTCAACTTATACTTCCCTCATCTGATGATTTTGGACGCCGCTCCAAGAAAAACCTTTTCAGGACCATAATTTGAGGGCATACACCTGAGGTGGAAGGATGAAAGAAGGACTACAAGTTTCAGGTGGGATTTGGGGTTAGAAAGGGAAAGAGAGAGAGACTCATGCATCGAATGTTAACGTTTACCCCGGTGGGCTAAGTCTCGCCATAATCGTTGCCAAAGCGAAGTTTTTAGCGACCCTATGAAATGGAATAACGATATTACCAAAGTAACTCTCTTTAGCCACCTAGAATCCAAATATGAGCCCTCCCCCTGTCAATACATCACAATTGTCCCTATGGATTTTAAGCTTGATTGAAAGAAAGGAAGAGCAAAAGCTGCTCGACTTCCATGCAACTAGAAATATGATTATCTGAAACAACTGTTTCCGACACAAAAAAACTGTTACGGACCAGATCGAAAAACATGAAACTAGATTGACTATGTCGTGATAGATGGAAGGCACGTCTTCAGTGCCTAAAATATGCGAACTATCCGTGGCTCTAAAGTCGGCTCGAACCATTGTCTTGAGTAACCAATATGCTCACCCGCCTCGGTGCAACCAAGGAAGCAAGTTATCACGAAAACTCGTCTAACTTTAGTGGTTGTCACAGAGAAACTCTTTAATCACATCTTTTCCTTTCTACACACAAATGGACGTCGAACTTTTATAACCCTCACCCTGTTTTTAAATAGGTATGTATGTAGTTTTGTGCACATATTTTCATCTAATATATTCTCTAATCTTTCACTTCCTTCCACAGCTGACATAATCTCTAAAACCTGTTTTCAATTATGACTCGATATTGACTCATATGAACTGATTATTCTTACTTCCTTTTACTTATTGCATTAAATATTAATCTCTCTTAGCACATTGTAATAGGATAGTTCTACAAACCTCTTCAGTACGGACACGGGTGGAGTAAAATGAGCGTAGTCGGGTACCGATTCGCCATACTCATCATCCTTTGGCTTTTACAAACCGGCTTATGGCGATCAATTTTGAATGTTTTGTTATCTAAATTTCGGTTTTACTAGAACAGACCATTCTCTACTATTTTTAATGGAATTGGTGCAATTATAACACTGGTCAACAAAATTTTATGGACCATTATATCATTTCCTTATATCCATATCCATATTTAATAAATGCTTTGATCAGCTGCCTAGCTCTTGGTACCGATTGACAGTGCGAAGTGTGTGTGGACACAAAAACCATATCGGCAGGGTATCTAGATAAGCCACGGCTTTGCTTTAGGTATGACACCCAACTGCTATGTAACTGCCCCCAGGATAAGAGTTCAACCCTACCAGCATTTGGGTTTGAGCCAAAATTACCACAAAATTATGTTTGAACAATTCTGATCGAGCTCCGAGGTGCCTGTAGTACTAGATTTTGTTCCCTACTGACAGCTTGGCTTGGAGACCACTTCATAGAAGTTGATTGAAATCTCACTTTTGATAACTTCTACTCGGCGTAGCCGCTATCTCTTGATCCCGGGAACTTTGCCAATATCTTGTACAGGTCATTGTTCCATCCAAAATAGCAACTGTTGGCAAGAGCGACTCTGCGTTGGATTTCAATTTCAATGTTTTGACTGTTTGGTTGATGAAGATACTTCGTCATGACCTCATTCTCTACCAAACCTATAAGCTTCACTCAATTATACAGTCTGAAGTAAGTAGACCTCATTGTGAGGTTTTTACACACCTTCTCTATACAACTCAAGCCACATGATAAGGAATCATTTTCGAACGACTCGGAGAGCTGCTTGCCGATCCTGACGGAGCTTTTGGGCTTGTTAATGTCAGTTTACACAGCCATATAAATTTTTCGGGAATACAAAATCAAAAATAGCGGCATAGAGTCAGTCCCTTTTCGTGCAGTCGAAGGCAGCTTTAAAATCGACGAAGAGGTGGTGTGTGTCGATCCCTTTTTAAAGGGTATTTGCAAGATTTGGCGCATGGCCGCAATGAAGCGATTGCATGTATCTTGTCACTTCTTCCGCGCGGTATTTAAATAGCTCGACCGGTAAACCATTGATCACTGCCACTTTGTTGCTTTTCAAGCAGGCGATTGCTTTTCAACCATCTTCATAGTCGGAAAATGAAACATCTCTTCCATGGTTATCGATTGGGAAATCGGATTCGTCATCATCGGGTATTCCTTTCCATTTCACTGCCATTCAGCAGGCGGGAGAAATGTGCACTCGCCGGATTCAGTATGCTCCGGGCACCTGTCATTTCTCCAGTCTGTAAACCTTCTATAAGTCGCCACATCTTTTCGTAGAATTTTCGAGCATTACTTCTGTCGACAAACTTCTCAAGCTCAATATACTAACGCATCTCGGACTACTTCTGCGTCTTGCTTCCCGCTTCAATTCACGGTATCTATCCCACCCCGTACGTGTAGTGGTCGATCGCAATATATAGGATTATTATGGCCCATTTTGGCAGCATGTACATGGTTTTTTAGGTACTTTTAATTATTAAAAATATAAGATTCATCCTCCACTTTTAGTTCTGGGAAGAGACAAATCTCTTTGACTATTTTAAAAAAAAGTATTCGAAGGGCGGTTTAATTTCTCAAAGACCAAGGACCAAGGACCAAGAATCAAGAGTACTCAGACCTTAAGTTTGTATAGTAAAAAATAATGATCACTATATGTGTATGCGTGCATCTGAATGAAAGGCCATTGATAATTCTGTGTATATTTACATATGTATGTATGTGGTATGTACAATAGAACTTCGAGAGGACTTATGATAACTAAAATCTAAATAAATTGTGCTAAAAATAAAAATTGCTATGATTTTTTATGCCAACGAATACTTCATTACCCATTGGCTATCGCAACTGCCATCCATGAGTGCAGCGGACAATGGCATTTTGGGTTTTTAATAATTAAATAGTTTATCTGTGAAAAAGAATTCCAGGATTTATAAGAAAATAATTATAAATATGTATATATGTATAATCTCAGCTTATTTATAAACCCTAAAACGACCACGATCCTCTTCATTCGGGTGTGTACGAATGTACTCTAACGAGCGTAGAATATAATCGGGTATTGGCGGTGGTCTGGGCAAATGACGTCCCACAGCATGGAATCCCAATTCATCAGCTATGTAACGCACTTCGATTGGTATGCCCTCGGGTGATGTGTAGCTAAAGATGCCTATCGCCTCCAATGCGCTCCCGGCTGCCTGCACGGCAATGCCATTGCTCGTTGTGTAGGCATATCTGTAGATACCCAAATCGTCGGCTGGCGCCACATTGTACAGAGTGATCACCGCATTGGGATCACCAAGCTGCACAGCAGAGACCGAATCGCTGAATTCACTGATGATGCAAACGATAACCAACACTGCAAAGACACACTGTGATTCGTTAAGAACATTATAATATATTATATATGTATGCATATATATAAAAAAATATAGTAGCACGATTTTGAGATTTTTCGACTTTTTTTAAAGTTTTTCGACAAATTTTATCTATGGTTTTAAAGACAATTAGTGAAAGGAAATTCTGGCAAATATTTGAGTAATTGAGCAATCAACAAGGAACTACTATCTGGAGCTCCGTTGGCAACTAAATCCAGTGATATGTAATACTAAGCTCACAAAATTTATACTATCTGTAAAGAAGCCGGACTCCAGGCTGCTGATAGGACTGTTGACAGGATATTGCCTTCTGGCGTCTCATGCGTTTAATATAGGTCTGGGGACACAATAGGAGTGTAGCAGTACAGCTTGGTCGCATGTAGTATGCCTGGCAACACTATAGATGTATTTCGTCTATGTGAGACCCAATCGGTCAGCCAGCGTAACTGAACCTAATGTAGCACAAAGTATCGTGGGTCGAACATTTGGCAATACTAGACAATAAGCTCTTCCTCTTCTTCGCCTTTGTAGCTGTGACAAAATCTATTAGAAGTCCCGTTCAATATTGACCTATTATTACACCTGACATTATGCGCTAATTCTGGCGCCATAGCTGTCTGGTTACGTTGAACGTGATATCTTGTTTGCTTTTCCGCAAGGACCAATTTCAGCAAATACTTTTAATTTGCCAGGGATAGAGTATACCTGGGTAGTGTGAAAGGTTTTTTGTGGCTAGAAGAATACTAAGCCCGCTTCGAATTAATTTAATTTATAATTTATAAATTAATTTTCTACAACTTTTGCGTGCTATTCGTACCTGGGCTCGAACGCTGACCTCACGCTCCCTCCGATCGCATGAAATGTAAAAATATGAAAGACAGACAGAGAAGTTTCGGGTAAGCGATTGGCTTTACACTCAGTACATGCACCATCGATACCCATCACATTTTTATCGGTTATAATGCTGCCTTCGATAGCATAGTAAGGAGCTGCCTCTACTCCGCTTTGTTGAAATTTGGTCTGTCCGCAAAACAGGTGCAACTTTGGACGGAGGAGTGAATTGCAAAGTAAAGTCCTCCCTTGACGAAGCAAAACCAAATTCTAACCTCATTCATCATTTCCGTCTTGCGATATAATGCGAACGGTTTATTGTATATTGCGCTTTTGCTACGTCTGTATCTCTCCGGTAAAATCAAAGGAAGGGGGAGGTTTCCACTCCGTCGAAAGGATTGGGTGGAGAGCGATCTGGATTCGCTTGACATTTTCAACTGACGCCAAACAACGAAGAAGAAACTGAATGGCGCGTTGTTGCTGATTCGGCTGTAATCGCGTAAGCGGTGCCCACGCCATGAAGAAGAAGATTTATAAACAATTTCTTTCAACACCTCATTTTAATGTTTTCTCTATACATATGAAAGGACCTCAGAATTATAGGTCAGGTCGTCTATTGGATTCGAATTACAACTATTTATTTCAAGCGGCGGCCACAATAGCCGAGTAGTTAGCATTGTATATTGGCACTCGAAAGGACAGGTTCGAGTCCCATATGCATAAAATTAATAAATTAATTTTAAATCAATGATTAAAAAAAAATGAATTAAAAAAAAATTAATTAATATTGCTATCACCCTTTCGCATAGAAAGTCAAGCCCTCTGAATGTATTTCCGATATGAAATAACAAAATACTCATAAAAAACGCTCAGACGTTCGGAGGTGCCTTAGTACAATATAAACTGTAGTTTCCCATTGGTTGGAAAAAAGAGGAGTTCGGCCGAAAATCGCTTCAGCGGTTATAAATCGCCAGTTACTAAATACTAAATTTCAAAAATGTGTCACTGTTTTCAGTTTAAGAAGATTTCTGAGTTGGTCTCTTCCACTTTGTGGCTCATCAATTTCACAACACATACAAGAGAATTCATTATTTTAAAAAGTATTTGCACTTAAAATTATTTCTGGAATTTTGTTTAATATCAGTTGAATTTGATGCGCTCATTATTTTAAACTTTATTGCTTTATGCACTCCAATTTTTGTTTAAAAAAAGTCCTTTTTTTGAATAGCAATAATATTCGAAAATTCCAAAATTCTCAACTTCAGCACTTACGGGTTTCTGTTTATTTGCTTGCTGCATTTCGGTTATTTTTGTTTGAAATATGAATGAGAGGATTTTTTAGTATTTGAAAAACTAATTCCGAGCGCCACTTTTGTAGTTTATTTTTATTAAAAGTTGCCAAAATTTTCGTTTTCGTTTTCGTTTTTTATTTTTATTTTTCGATTTTATATTTATTTCTCCGTAAACTTTTCCACGTTTCCGAGTTGCACTCCTAAATTGTAGGTATGTACAGAAATGTTTAGGGTTCGAAGTATTTTTCACAACTGCGGGCGAGCGCGTAAAGCATTATGTTTTTTATATCGAATCATCCAACTGTGTTTAACTGAATTAATCGCCATCAATCTGACCACGAGCCATTAGCCAGCCAAGCCAAACATAGCAAATAATCAAGTATCCAGTGTTGTAGTCAATTGGGAGGCTGATTAGTGTTTGTCGCTACATATTGGATTTTTTTTTTTTTGGTCACACGCAAACACAAACACACACACACACACATTTGATATATTCACCTATTGTTCACAAATATACGTAGAAACGATTGCTCTTTTGGTTGGCTTGGTTGGCTTGTTTGTCCCGCCATAAGCGAACGCAAGCCTCGAAACGGTCTACTTTGTTTACAATCTTCAACGAAATTTCAGCAACAATTTTTCGTTGTCTCGTTCATCTTTTTTATTTTTATTTTATTTTTTTTTATTTTGTTTTTTGCCAACAACTCATATTTTGTGCGTTTTCGAAAAATCTGGTTATTCGTTAATTTTTAATTTTCTTGTTAAATTAACTAATTTCCATTTATATATTTGTTGCTTAATTTAACTAAATTTTATGCTACAAATGTCTTCGCAATATTTTATATTATTTTGCAACAGTCACTGATATGATTTAGTTAAATATTCATAAATTCCTTTATCAACAACAACTATTAGCAGCCGGTTTGTTTATACGAACTCATAAAAATATAATAAAAAATTTCGATTTTACTATTCGGTAACCGTTAAATGTGACGGATTTTTTTTTATTTATAGGAGCTTTAATGATTGTTGCTCGTGGTGCTGGTACTATAATCCGTGCACATACATACATATGTTTTATATCTTATTTCATAATTTTCTTTTTGAAATCATTTGGCAATCAGCGGTTGAAGGTCGCATTGTTATCAGAGTTCTTAGACGATATATAGACATTCGTTGAATGCTCATGGAAAGGTCAACCTAAGTAAAACTTGAAAGAGTCACGAATCCAGTACGCTTATCTCTCCAGTTGATGAATGAATGAAGTTTTTTATGCCAGGTGTGTGATGGATTTTATGCATTTAAATTCTGACAGACATTGGGACGAGACTGGTAGTCTGTGAGCTTAAAGGCGGATTGAAACGTCTCGAAATGGATTGACCAGCGATCGACTTGGAAATCCAATTTGTTTGTAAAGTTCTTCATAAAAATATGTATTAAGTTGAGTTACGTTTAGTTGATGCAGCTGTTGGTCAGTGACTAACGTACTAAGGCCAATAGCCCATTGTAATGCCGCTGTGATGCTCCTATCATTATCTTCTCAAATGTTCGAACCACTTCGTATGCTAGCCCAACCGACCTAGGAGCACGAGATGTCTTGATATTTTCGCGTCCAATTTCAGCCATAGCTGACTGGTCACATTGTATGTTATCTTATTTGATAGCCTAAAGTCTGCTTCTTCGGCAAAGGAAAATTTTAGCATATATTTTGCCGTGCACAAAGGTAAATCTGCATCGTGTATACCTTTTCTTTGTAGACTTCGTCTGCTGTGCACTTGCCCGGGTTGAGACTCCGTCCGGGTATTCAGTGCACGTCAGTGTTGTATTTAGTCGAGAGTTTGTTCCGATTGCTTCTACATTTTATAGCCACTTTTGATGTGGTATGGTAAGATTGCAGAGATCTGATGGCAGCTTGGCTGTCGGAATATATCATAACTAATTTTTCGGTTACCGCAGATTTTAGTAGCCATTCGATGGCTTCCATGATTGTTTAGGGTTCTACTGGAAAGACGTATCAGTGGTATGGTAGTCTTCTGCTCAAATTTATTGAGAGTAGGATAGATTCCACTGCCTACTTTTTCATCGGGCTTTGAGCCGAGGAGGTTTGTGATATCCTCCTTTATTCCTGTTAGGGGTTCTTGTGGAAAAAACATTGTCAAATCACACACTGGAGGTGGTGTAGGCCAGCTCTTTCAGCACTTTCGCAAGAGATAATATTTTAGCTTGTCCTATACTGTACTTCTTACTATAGTGGGCTGCATTCAATCTGATTGCCTTCCATCTCGTTTATATTTTGTCCATCAGGTCCAGAGCAAAGAGGTTGAGAGGAGTTAGCAGCGCTTTTGATGGAGTTGATGGCAGTGATTCTGTTACCAGGATATGTGTATCACTCACATTCGCATGGATTTGCAAAATTAAAATGCAGAGTATTTTGTTGACTAAGTTTGAAATTGTTATTAAGCCAAAATCCCGAGCTACGACCACAAAAGAGGTATTCGATTTACATAAGAGTCGCACGACCAATACGACTATATGAAGCATGATGGATGAAATTGATACCATGGGCTTAACAGCCGCGCATGAATTTTATTTTCCCCAAACTGGATAAGGATGCGAGGCCTATGGGTCTGGTAATGAACGAGGACCAGACGAAATATCTGCTGTCATAATAAAAAACAGTCGTATCATTTACAGCTCGGATCTCAGTAATAACTTTGAAATCGTAGATAGTTTCGTCTATCTTGAAAGCAGTATTAACACCAACAATAACTTCAGCATTGAAATCCAATGCAGAATCACTCTTGCCAACAGGTGCTACTGTGAACTGAGTAAACAATTGAAAAGTCAAGTTCTCTCCCTACGAACAAGGATCATATTCTACAAGTCACTCATCATTCCCGTCCTGCTATAAAGTGGGAAGACATGAACGATGGAGTTTTGGAGACAAAGTTTTTGCGTAAGACATATGGTCTTTTGCGCATTGACAATGGCGAATAAAGAGACAGCGGCTATGTTGGATGAGTCACGTGCTCCCGATGGATGAGAAGACACCAGCTTTGAAAGTTTTCGATGATGTACCCGCCTATGGAAGCAGAGGAAGTGGTACACCTCTACTCTGCTGGAAGGGCAGACGAATGAAAAAGCATTAACAGCTAAACGGAACGGCTGAGAAACTGCAACCTTCGGAAGGGTGGATACCTACTGCTCTTTCTCGAACAGCACAGTTTGAGCGGAAGACAAAGCTATCCATATTTGTGAAGATATTTCTATGTTAACGAAATAATGAGTTTAAATCTGAGGCAGGCACAGCTGCAGAGGACATCGGGTTGCAGTTAAGAATATGTAATGTACATTAAGACCAGAAAGTTTCCCGAAACTGTTTTTTCTTTGATATATGCGGTTTAGTTCATCATGAATTCATTCCAACGAGACAGATGGTCAATAAAGAGTATTATTTGAGCGTTTTGAGGCGTTTGCACGAAAACATACGTCGTAAACGGCCTGAATGGTCGGCCAACAACTCAGCAATTGGGGCCGTATGTCAGCAATAATTGACTTGGGCTTATCTATGTAGAGCAGTGACTTCACCAAAACCCACAAAAATGGTCCAATGGTGTTAAATAGTATGATCTTAGAGGCAACACCACATTCCATCAACGCGAGTTAAGACGCTCACTAAAAGATTCCTTGAATTAATTGGTTTTTTCGTTCGCTGTATGGCAGGTAGCACAGTCTTTTTGGAGTTAAAGATCAACCGTATCAACATCCTCCAATTCAGGCACGAAAAAGACATTAAAAAAGTGAGCTTCGTGGTTGGTAAAACTTTTTATTGTAGACCGGAAACGGTGGCAATCTCGTTTTGGGCCCATTCACCGAATGTTCGACATACTTGATGGCTACTTTATATCCTTCCGCAAAATCGCCCAAAAAGTGTCATGGTCACAGCTCTAATTTTGACATACCAAGCCGGACAAATTTAATTGCGTATTTTTCGATGCTCTGCTCCACAGTAAGTCCCTCAGTGCACAATGTACGGCGCCTCTAAGGGTGCGCATTATACACTAGGGTAAAGGTGGTGCAAAATCTATCGACATAATATATATGTAATTGGCACTTTGTAACCGCTGAAGCGATTTTCGGCCGAGCTCCTTGTTCAATTTATGGTTTTGCGTTTTGTTGTTTAACCAAAAAATCAAGAGAACTACAGTTTCCACTAAGCCGCCTTCGAACGGCTGAAATCTATCCATGGTTGCTCGAATTACCGACTCTGCTGCGTGGTTAAGGCGACCGCACCGGACCGAACTTGAAAGTATTTTTGTCATAAAAGTTAGCTTCTTATAAAAATCAGGGCTTGGGCGTGATGAATAAAATATCATTATTTGTGCTCGAGAAGATCAACAAGCACGAGAAGAATAAGAAGCAGAGATTTATGTATTGTAGTAAGTTCGAAGAGCATTTTAAATATTTAGATTCAGTTAAGTTAAGTTAAGACAACCATTTAGAAATCTCTTAATGTATTTGTCCTTCAACGTTGGCTGCACCTCAGGTGATTCTGTATTTTTACCCTTACAATTTATGTATTTATTGTAAGAATGACGGCCGATTATAAAAAAAAAATAAAATAACAAAAAAAAATTATTTAATAGCAACCTTCACACTGAAGAACTGCATTTATTAGAATAACAACTCGGCATAAGAATCTACAAAAGAAATTTAAATATTTTTGTGGAAATATTAAAGTTAAATACTTCGAAATCTCATATGGATACAAAGCAAAAATATGGTGTTTTAAAACTCGATACACTTGTCATAATACATGAATATGAAAATACAACAACATAAAGAACTATTTTTTATGCTTTTGTGAAAAAAAATCTAATAAAGTTCTGTTCAGTTTATGCGCTTAATTAACGCTCATTTTGGCAATAAAATATTATGTTGATCAAAAAAAGCAAAAAAAAAAACAACAACAAAAACTGCCTGAAGAAAAATGGCAAGAGCATCACGCTGATGGAAAATGCTAATCGCACGCTCTCCTATACAAATACCGCTTATTAAGTTAAGCTTAACAAATGTGTGTGACTCTTGCGCGATAAAATCTGATTGTATGATGAATGCATTCGAGATGCCGAAAAATGCTTTGAATGTCGTTAAGTTTGATTTTATAAATTTTGTTTGCATGCCGATGGAAGAATAATAAAAATAGATATTCTAATTTGCGCGTGCTATGTCTGTATGCTGGCGTAAAGCGTAAAGCGTAAAGCGGAAGTGATTTTGTGTTTATCAACAATATTTAAAAATATTATGCTAATTTACCATGATGGCGTCACATTTGTATTATTTTTTAAATATCTACATACGTGTAGATGCCATAGATATATGAACATAACTAAATATGTTTGTTTTTTTTTTTTTGCTTGTCATTTATTCTACGAAGAGTGACTTATTAAATTCATCACTGAAGTTTTAACGCCGATTATTTGCATGCAATTTCCACATATGAACAATTTATCATACGAAATTTTTATGATTTGTACATCGGGTTCGTTGCTTAAGTCTTTTGTTCTGTGAGACGCAGTGTTACGCAACATGCAAATATTTACTAATGATCGATTAACACTAAAATGTGCCAATATTCACTGTTATCCACACTGTAAATCGTTAATTAAAAACTTGTTAAGCAAAAGAGCAAACACATTTTTTATCATTAAAAAAATATATATTTAATTATCATACGAGGACAGTCCAAAGGAATGGTGAATTTTGTATTTTCGTGGGTGTGTACATTCGATTATGGAATCTTTTTTCATGTTGGTATACAAATTTTATAATATGTTGGAATGAGGGGTTTGTAATTGACTACTAGAAAGGTTAGTCACGTTTTTGTGTGCTCTTCGATTTTTAATTTAAAGAAAAATATTAATATTGGATTTATGCACTAATTCGTGCGGTTTTTTTTCGAAAATTAAGACTTCATTGTGAAAAAATGATTTTGATCATCTGGAAACGGTTGCTTGAGCAGCTCCTAATACTATTGCTCCAAAGCACTTGAAATGTTGCCTGTGGCATTCGGTAAATGCACTTAGTCCAAAGAAAGTATTAATAAGTGGCACAAGCGACTTACAGACGGTCGAGAAGTTATTGAAGATGATGAGAGTTCTGGAGTTCCAACTACGTCATCAAGCGATGATGCAGATATTGTTGGCATATCAATCAGCTCATGGTATGTAATTCTTTCGTATGTTTTTGGCACAAGACGTGTGTAAAGCAATGTCGAATTAATATCGCTCAAGAGTTATTGAATAAGCACAACGACGATACAGTTTTGGTCGAAATGCCAAGTACAGCCAAGTCCTTCTCTACCCGGTCTTTCCAAAGGAGTGGAGGTCTTCCTGTGCTTCCGCCTGCGGAAAACTTTCAAAGCTGGAGTATTTGCATCCAACCGGACCACATGACCTAGCCAGCGTAGGTCTACCTAACGGCTGACCAATTGGGTCTCAAACACACTACATACGACCAAAGCTACACTACTACACTCCAATTGTGCCTCTGGTGTGAATACTATTGTTGTTCTTTTCGCAAATTTAAGTAGTCGTTCGGCCTCTTGGCCATTGCCGATTGAAGATCCTGCAGCTTTTTTGCGCCAAGTAAGCATAAACCTTTGTCTGTCGTGTTCAGCATTACTCACAGATTACGTGCTCCACTGTCTCCATATATTCCATACACTTACCGCACTTGTTGTGCCCAGTCAGACCCCAAAGGCTAAAAGTCCTATCAGCAGCCTGGAGTCCGGTCTCTTTACAGATAATACAACTTTGTGAATTAAGTATCGTAGTTCATATAGTTTCCGCGATTCTGCAGCCCTTAGATCGTTCCCAGAGTCTGTTCGCATGACGAAGTAGTCTTACTACTTGCTTTTGCTTCACTTACCTGAATGGGTTCGTGACTGCGTCATATTCTAAATAAACGTCTTCCTTGGCTAGCTCGTCAGCTATCTCTTTACTTTCAATGCTCATGTGGCCTTGCACCCAATAAATGTAAACTCCTCTGTTTTCAAACAGTACTTGAATCGGCTCTTTACACAGTATGATCAGATGCTATTTGAAATTGAAGCCTTTTTGGTCGCTTGGTTATCTACATCGTCATTATCTGTTATTGCAATAGCTTTGCCGTCATGCATTTGTAGCAAATATTTCCGCTTGGGAGATACTGCTATAGTTTGGTAGCTTATCCGACTTCCGTATCTCTTGTCGAGTGCAATAAACTGAAGCCCATAAAAAGTTTTGTTTGCATCCTTTTTCCATCTTTGTTCCAGCCATTTGCCTCTATTGTAGCTGAAAATAGCTTTCTGATAGTTTGGCGTGGGATTATGTAGTATATTCGTACGCTCAGCATTAACGCTACAGTGTGTCCCAAAAATAACCGAACTTTATTTTTAAATCATACAACATACAGCGCCATCTATTAAAAATTTGCAACATTAAACAGACACAAAGAGCAAATATAAAATTTTGTGTCAAACTTGAAAAAAAAGTAATGAAAAAAGTTTAATGTGATGATTG